AGGATAGACAGACAGAGAGAGAGAAGATGAGAATTCACTTAGTTTTCCACTGCTATAGTCCTGTTTAAAGTGTGTGTGTTTGGTGGGGGTGTGTATATAGGATATGGGGGACATTTAGACATTTTTTTGCTTTGTTTGTAATACTGACAATGCAGTAAAAGATTTATTTGTTTTACTTTTCCAGAATCTGGTTGTATTATAGCTGCTAGACCCCACAGAGTGTCTAGTTTGTCATATTTCTGAAAACTAAAGCCTCTAACACTTCACAAATCCCAGAATGTATTTGACTGATTCAGGAATGGGCCCTGGAGGTTGAGGGATTAAATCTTCCCTTTGCTTGCTTTAGTTGTGGCACAGAAAGAACCCTGAGAAGGAATGCAGCCTTTACCTGAGAGAGCTCACTGGAAAAGAAAAAAAAAAAAACCACTGTCTTTGTACTGTTACAGCAAACAGAGCACTTGGGGTGAGGATGTGTGGGCTAATAGGGCCCAGGTGCTACCCTTATGATGACATAGGACATACAAGGCGCAGGCAAGCACCTCCTTCTTAGGGGACATGGGACTGTTCCTTCAAAGCTGCCTCCTCTAATAGTGATCCTGAGGTCAATGGCTTTGCACATTTGGCAGATAATACTCCAGGCTATCTATCGTGTTTTCATAGGCACCATAAAGGGGTGGGTTGCAGTAACAAATATTTTATTTTCTATCTTGCATTCTCTCCTGAGTGAGAAAACATTTTAAACAGGAGAAGGTGAGCATCCCCAATATCTAAAATACCTGGTTGAGCTTGACAATGACATATCACCCATAAAAGCTGCAGGGGTGTGGCAAACTCAGAACTGTAGAAAAAATAAGCAGGTGTGCGTGTGCACACATAACTGTATGTTATGACTACAAGTTTGGCAAAAATGTACTCCCAGTTATATGCTAGGGTTTAAAGTATAAAAATGAAAAAAGTTAGATGAAGAGGGAGGTGAAGGAAAATGTTGGATGCAGAGAGAATGACACAGGACATACTTAAGGGCTCTGAAGCAGGAATATACATGTTAATTTCTAAAAGAAATTAGCATAACAGGAAGCACGACTACAAAGTTGGGCAGAAGCCATTTTCTGGGGTCACTGAGACTTTTTAAGAAGTTTTCATACTCCATCCTGCTATTGCCAGCTCCATCTTCTCTTGAGACAGCTTCTTGCTGTGTCCCTCCAGGATAGAGTGCAGTCGCATGATCAAAACTCACTGCATCCTCAAACTCCTGGGCTCCAGAGATTTTCCTTTCTCAGCTTCCTGCGTGGCAGGACATAGGTGTACACCACCACACCCAGTTGATTAAAATTGTGGTTTTTTTTTGTAGAGATGGAGTCTCGCTATGTCACCCAGGCTGGTTTTAAACTTCCAGGCTGGTTTTAAATTTCCAGACTCAAGCAATCCTCCAGCCTCAACCTCCCAAAGCTCTAAGATTACAGATGTGAGTCTCTGTGCTCAGCCACCAGTTCCTTTTTTTTTTAAACTCAGAGGATGGGTTTTACTAGATTCAACAAGTAGACATTGTATACCTTGCAAATGTAATTGGGGGTACCTGGCATGGGCACAGGTTATTCTGCATAGAATTACATTTTTGACTGTTCATTTTTATTAAAGAGAATTCACTTGTCACATAAGTAGCAAGAAAGAGGTTTACTTTTGGACACCCACAGCCCTTGGATTTTCAATAAATGGGAAGAAGGGAAAGTTCAGCATTGTTAGTGTGTCCTTGTTCTCTGCGCATGAAGACCCTCACCTTCCACATGGAGGAGAAGTCTTCATGGGGGCATGGATGATAGCCTACTCAATGTCCCTTTTTTCAGCAATGCCTGTCACCTACTCATGCTCTTATTTTTTTTTTTCTGTTTTTGTCTTTAAAATATATATTTTTCCCTGGCTTCATAATCATGTAAATTGTATGATCCTGGTCCTTATTTCCAGACCTTTTTCTAATTACTTTTTATGTTTTTAATTCTTAATGCAAATTTAAAATAGTTTAGCTTTGTATTTTAACTATTCATTCTTCTCAATCTATGCATACATCTTTGGCTTTCTTTTTTGATTTAAAACTTTTTGCCTTTGACTTCTTTTAAACAAACGTTTACACTTTTGTGCTACTAATTCGATTCTGTATCTTGATATGGGTTGGTTATTTCCCACCCAAATCTCACCTTGAATTGAATTGTAATAATCCCCACATGTCAAGGGCAGGGCCAGGTGGAGAATACTGAATCATAGGGGCAGTTTCCCCCATAGTGTTCTCATGGTAGTGAATAAGTCTCATGAGATCTGATGGTTTTATAAATGGGAGTTCCCCTGCACAAGCTCTGTTTCCTGCCATGCAAGACATGATTTTGCTCCTCATTCACCTTCTACCTTGATTGTGAGCCTTCCCCAGCCATGTGGAGCTGTTCGTCCATTAAACCTCTCTCCTTTTCAAATTACACAGTCTCAGGTATGTCTTTATTAGCAGCATGAGAACAGACTAATACACAGCTCCAGTATCACAATTCCCCTTGATTTTTCTCTTTTGTTCTTCTCATTATTTTAAAAAGGTTATTTTTCTCTTATTGCTGCCTGTCATGTTCCTCACCAGCCCTCACATAAGCATATCAGAATTATATTTTCCTTATATTCTGATATGCTTATGTAAAATTATATTTTCCTTATATTCTTTCTCTTTTATTCCTTATATTCAAAAATTATATTTTCCTTATATTCTGATATACTTATGTAAGGGCTGGTGAGGGACATAACTGTAATGGTGGGAGGCAGGGACACAGATTAGAACATATGCAGATGAGAGTGCATCTTTTCTCCCCACACAACACCTTGGACCCTTCCCCAATGTATCCATCCCCCTCAGAGGGAGTCTTTCTGTCTCTGATTAAAAAACAAAAACAAAACAAAATAAAACATGACCATAACTGAGAAGACTTAAGAATGTCATAGTTAAAACTTAGGTTTATGATATTTTGTGCAAAGATAATCAATGGTAAAACTTCTTTAGGTTTATGATGATATTTTCTATATATGGCATATTAACTAAAACGAATAATATTTCCTCCAGGTCTCTCATATGATTCTAATGTGTTATTTCCTCCAGGTTCTTATTCTTAGAACATATGTTAAGAGTTGAGTATTTTCACATCTGTGAAATCCAATATATGAAACCATTGGTTTTGGGAAATACCTTTCTATCTTTCTACTACTATGTCTTTAGTCAGAAGGAAATAGACTGATGGACCATACAAGGGGATAATTATTAGTGTAATGACTTTAGGATAGTCATGCTAAGAAATCCACTGAATTTAAACCCACTGAATTTAAATTGGCAGGAGGTATAGAAAAATGTATATGAAATCTTTTGTTATCACTTTTATATTAGCCTTCTGATAATATGCATATACATACACATACACATGTGTACATATATATGTATTTGACCCCTGAACAACATGGATTTGAACTGCATGGATCACTTATGCATGATTTTTTCCAATAAAAGTTAGACAGAGTGTGCCTGCCTCTCCTGTTTCTCCTTCTTCTTCCTCCACTTCTTCCTCTGCTACGTCTGAGACAGCAAGAGCAACCTCTCCTCTTCCTTTTCCTCCTTGGCCTACTCAAAATCAAGATGATGAGAATGAAGACCTTCACGATGATCCACTTCTGCGTAGTGACTAGGAAGTATATTTTCTTTTCCTTATGATTTTCTTAATAACATTTTCTTTTCTCATGTTCCTTTATTATAAGCATACAGTATACTTTATGTGCATATATATATATATATATATATATATATCACAATATGTGTTAATTGACTCTAGATCCTATTGGTAGGCTTCCAGTCAGAAGTAGGCTATTGCTGGTTAATTTGTGGGGAAGCCAAAAGTCATATGTTAATTTTCAACTTTGCAAAGTGGGTAGGCACCCTGCATCATTCAAGTGTCAACTCTATTTCTGGGAAGCTCAGAAAAAGATTCTTTTTTTATATTACACTGTTGGTTTTCTTTTCTTGTTGTAATATTTTGAGATACTAGCCAGTATAAAATTTATCTCAAATAAGATTGATTGTTAAAAATGTGTTTACTAGGTCATCGCTGTAGGAGCTTTTTAACTTAGAGGATCTACACTGGGCAACCAAGGACTCTTGAAAATATCAGAGTATATGTTGAAAGGGCAATGATATGGCTTGGCTGTGTCTCCATCCAAATCCCATCTTGAATTGTAGTTCCCATAATCACCACGTGTGATGGGAAGGACCTGGTGGGAGGTAATTGAATCATGGGGGCAGTTTCTACCATGCTATTCTCATGATAGTAAGTTCTCAGAAGATCTGAGGATTTTATAAGGAGCTTTTCATTTTGCTTGGCTCTCATTCTAGTCTCTCCTGCTGCCATGTGAAGATGTGTTTGCTTTCCCTTCTGCTATGACTGTAAGTTTCCTGAGGCCTCCTCAGCCCTATGAAACTGTGAGCCAATTAAACCTCTTGCCTTTATAAATTACCAGTCTTGGGTATTTCCTTATAGCAGCATGAGAATGGTCAAATACAGGCAGTATGCTTGATCTTTATACTATGAGACTTGGCCCTACTGGGGAAATATTCTGGGATTAAGGCTAAATGATAGGATCTTACTTTATGGAAAGAATATCATTTCCTTCTTTTGTGTAAATGTACAGAAGCCATCTTAAATTATCTCTGGAAAAAGTACATATAAATGGACAAGTAAATAATAAATATCCAGCAGTTAGTCTTAATTCTATGGTGTCCATTTTTATACCAAGAAATGCCCTTTTGTGGAATCTATGTTGCCAATAGTAACATTTATCTTAAGTCACATGGGTAGCTATAAACAAATTATTTAAGAAAAATATGTGTAGTTGAAGCAGTTAGTAATCATTTTAAGGGGGTAAATTTGGAGTTGAGAAAGAAAGCCAAATGGGGAAGCAGAACTGCAAATTTCTGCCATACAGCAGAGGAGATGAAAATGAAACACTGTCTCTTAAGAATGTCTGGAAAGCGGTCTGCCCCTGGAGGTGGTAGCAAGGTTCCACAGAAAAAAGTAAAACTTGCTGCTGATGAAGATGATGATGATGAAGATGATGATGATGATGATGATGATGATTTCGATGATGAGGAAACTGAAGAAAAAGTGCCAGTGAAGAAATCTATACGCGATACTCCAGCCAAAAATGCACAAAAGTCAAATCAGAATGGAAAAGACTCAAAACCATCATCAACACCAAGATCAAAAGGACAAGAATCCTTCAAAAAACAGGAAAAAACTCCTAAAACACCAAAAGGACCTAGTTCTGTAGAAGACATTAAAGCAAAAATGCAAGCAAGTATAGAAAAAGGTGGTTCTCTTCCCAAAGTGGAAGCCAAGTTCATCAATTATGTGAAGAATTGCTTCCGGATGACTGACCAGGAGGCTATTCAAGATCTCTGGCAGTGGAGGAAGTCTCTTTAAGAAAACAGTTTAAACAATTTGTTAAAAATTTTCCGTCTTATTTCATTTCTGTAACAGTTGATATCTGGCTGTCCTTTTATAATGCAGAGTGAGAATTTTCCCTACCGTGTTTGATAAATGTTGTCCAGATACCATTGCCAAGAATGTGTTGTCCAAAATGCCTGTAGTTTTTAAAGATGGAACTCCACCCTTTGCTTGGTTTTAAGTATGTATGGAATGTTATGATAGGACACAGTAGTGGTGGTCAGACATGGAAATGGTGGGGAGACAAAAATATACATGTGAAATAAAACTCAGTATTTTAATAAAAAAAAAAAAAAAGAAAAAGAAAATGAAACACTGTCAAAATGTTCCCAGGCCTTGGGGAAGAAGTTCAGTCATGGGGCATGTTAGCAGATATGGAATGGGGTCTTGGCCAATCTAGCTTAAACAGTAAATATTCGTTATCTGTGTGAAGCTAAGTTTTCAAAACTCTGACTCAGAAGAGTGGTGAAGCAAAAACACTTACTTGATTTAGAGATTCCCTTTTTTTAAAAATTATACTAGGCTAAACTAATACATTTAACCTCAATTGTTTTTATGTTAAACATGCAGGTGGCTCTAACTGAAGCTGAAACAGCATAGATATCAAGAATAAATATACACCGGCTTAAAAATACAAAGCATAACTTTTTAATAAAAAATAGTAAAATGTGTTTGCATTTGAATTAAGTCAAAGAATGGAAAGTTGCACTTTCTGTTAACGTTTGACCTGTCAAAGAAGAATAAAACAATTCACTGATTCATTTTGTTACAGTTCTTTCACTTTATAAAAAGTGAATGAATTAGCTATTGTTCTCTTTGGTTAGAGGCTTTGATTAGTTCATATGTTTACTGTTTGTGTGATTAACCTATTCATATTTAATAATTATTTTCACCACTGAGAATTTGTTAGCATTTATGTTACTATACCAAATTAAATTTATTTTCATTCCCTTTGTACATAATGCTTCTCCACATAGACCCTTGGTAAAATTAAATTTGATTTGATGGTAACACAATTGGTAGCAAAATTCCAGAAATATGTAAAAGTATTTTATTAAATTATGTGAATAATTGAAGCCCATTTTTTCTGGATCAAAAATTATAATTTATGAAATACCATCAATATATATGATATTGTATAAAATATGTGTGTCTCCCTTACTCACGGCCTAGAATTTGTAACACTTTTTGTTTTTTTCCAATCTGGTTAGTAAGAAGTGTCATCTCCTTGTCATTTTAGCACTTCCTAGACCCTTTATGAGGTGGCCTATAGATTCATATAGCAACTTCTAATTTTGTAACATTATGGCTAACTTATTTTACCCCTTTTCAGGTTTGTATTTTTTTATTTACAAATGATCTTTAAAAAATATGTCAATATGACAAATATTTATTGTGTGTCTACTGTGTGCCAGGCATTGTTTAAAGCCTACTAGATATACATCAGGAAATTGCACAGACAAAACATCAGTGTCTTAATAAACTTAATTCCAATGCTGTGAAGCAGAGAGAGATAACATATAATAATAATGAATATCCATGGTACTAAGTAGGAGAGCAGACAAGGAAAAAGAGCTTGAAGAAGCTGGGGGAGGCAATGTTTCTTGCCATTTTTTTATGGGTTACTCAGTAATAGCCTCCCTTGGGTGTCACTTAATGGAAGACTTGTAGGAGTGATTCATGAGGTAGTTGTTGGGGACAGTTTCTCAGATGGGGCAAATGCCCAGTGCAAAACTCAGGAATGACTGTGTTTCTGGCACATTCAACATATGTGAGGAGGTCAACATGGTGAAACTCATGGGATAATGGAAAAGATGTAGGTGATGAAGTCCAAGAGGCAACAGAGGGACCAAATCCCACTAGACAGGGCAAGGCATTGCGGCAACTTTGTTTTTTATTGTTGGAGGACGGAGAGTCTTATGGATTTTGAGCAGAGGAATGTTATAATCTGACTTTTCTTTTTCTATTCTGATTGCTATGCCGAGAAAACTCTAGAGGGCCAGAGAGGAAACAGAAAGTCCAGTCATGGAATGACATGACAATCCAAGGCACAGTTGTTGGTTTGTTTGAGGGTGGTTGTGTTAGTCTGTTCTCACTCTGCTAATAAAGACATACCTGAGACTGAATCATTTATAAAGGAAAGAGATCTAATTGACTCACAGTTCCACATGGCTGGGGAGGCCTCACAATCGTGGTGGAAAATGAAGGGGAAGCAAGTCACGTCTTACATGGCAGCAGGCAAGAGAGCTTGTGCGGTGGAACCATCACATCTTGTGAGACTCCTTCACTACCATAAAAACAGTATGGGCGACCTGCCCCCGTGATTCAATTATCTCCACCTGGCCCCACCCTTGACATGTGGGGATTATTATAATTCAAGGCGAGATTTGGGTGGAGATACAGACAAACCATATCAGTGGTACTAGTGGCAGTCTTGAGAAATGGTAATAATCTATATGTATTTTGAAGGAAGAGCTTTCATGCTGCAGAATGGTCCTAAGGGGCTGACCCAGTTTCCCCTTCCTTCTTGCTTTTAGATCTCAAGAATAACTATAGAAAATGCTGGGAATGTAACATCCTGAGATAGTGAGGGAATGGGCAGGATAACCCAGGCTCTGTTCCAGATCCTCCCCTCCAAAACAGGAAATCTTTCAGTGCTTTAGGCCAGGGCCCCATGTGGCCATCACTATGTAAAACCCAGTTAGGTTGCTTTCTCTGTTCTTTCAGCCACAGTGCTTGAGAAGTCTCCCCGTTGGGACTCCATCTGCCCCAGGCACTTTTCCTGAGTTTTTGGGGACCGCTTTCTATATGCTAGGCTTCTGTTGTCCCTTGCTGCCTATGTTTCAGTAATAAACTGGCTGTGTGTGGGCATTCAGCCTCACCAGACTCTGAAAAGCAGGTAACCAGTGCACCATGGCACTGCTTCACAAAATTGGCACAGTGAGGATGGTCCAGTCTGACCTATGGCTTATTGGGGAAGTGGTGGGGGTGGGGTGGGGGGCAATACTTTCCTCCCAAGTAGCTAGCCAAGGGTGCAAATGTTAGTCTGGGGAAGAAGAAATTACACGTCGGACATCGAATTCCCATCCAATGGACCAAGTCTACATGTCTTGCAGAGAGAAAGGAATGTGGAAATAGGGGAGTGCAATGAATAGTTCCCTGACTGTTGGGCACCTATGTGATTGCTCACTTCTGAGGCTGGAAAGCTCAGAAGGAGGTGCCCAGATGTGTGCTTCAGGCCTCCTTAGAAAGGGAGATGCACTATCTACAGTATGGATATGGAGAAAGGCTATAGAAGTCCTGCATGGTTTGGTTTGTGTGCTTGATGAAAAGATGTTGCAACTCTAAGGATCTCAGGTGGAATGGTAGGGATAGGAATGGGGCCCCATTCTCTGAGTCTTCGTTGGAAACTATAGGAAACAGATGCTCAGTGCTGCAATGAAAATTCAGCACTGAGACAAAGGATCTCTCAGCAAGGCAATTTTTACTTCCTGCAGGAAGGGTACCTTTGCCAGCCATCTTGCCGTGAGAGTACAATGAACAAAGAAAAAGCAGACATATTTATCCCTTATGCATTTGAAGTTGTTCTTACTGCTATGCTTGATCTCCATTGGTTGGAGCCAGACCTCACAATCTAAACTAAAATCCCATGGGCTAACAACTTAAAACTTTTCTAAACAGGTAAAAGCAATGGAGAACAAAAAGGGAGTCCAAATAAGGAAGGAGCATAGGCTACAAGCTGGGACATGCCTGTGAGCATGTCCAGCACAGATATCTTGGTTAAAGTACAAGGACATAGATTGTACTATGTGCCTGTAGGCATGTCTAACAGCTACATATGATGGGTCTTAAAAAAGAGGTATTACCCAAAAAAAGAAAAAAAGCAAGAAGGATTTATTAACAAGAAAGAAAACCTTGAAGAGGAACTTTTCTACTTCCCACAGGAACTGATGGTCAAAATGAAAGGGTAAAAGGAATTCAGACTTTTCTAGAGTTAGATGCTGGAGCCCACATGACAATATTTCAAAGTCCCCTTAGGAGAAAAATTAAGCTGATGACATTGGCAAGTTAGGGGACAAACATGGTGTGCATGATACTTCTGTGCTTGTGGGTGAACCCTATTGACCGTTTCAGGTGCTGGGGACCATGGTTTGCACCACAGAATGCAGTGTAGACATTGGCATGTTGGCTGACTGTGGCACAGAACATCACTGCCACCTGAGGGAGATGCCTCCTCACGACTAAGAATTTGATCCATAACATGGAGGCAAACCCACTCCCACCTGCTTCCCAAGCTATGCAAGCCCTGATGGATTATTCAGCAAAACCCATACTGCAAACAAAGTGAAAAAAGTACATTAGTCAGTCAGTTCAGGACTTGCCACAAGCAGAAATGTAAGCAACCCTGACACAATAGAACAACTGAGTTTGGATAGTAAAACAGGCCTTTGGGGCCTAGAGACTGACATTGGACTATTGCAGGCTGAATGCAAAGGTCACTTGTTGGGGAAGCAAAAGAAATATTTCTCATAGAGTCAAGCAGAAATTGTTGGCCTTGATAGCACTCATTGATCAAAGTTATCCAACAACGGATGTGTTTCTTTAGGTACTGGAGACAACATGGATCCAGCTTGGTGCTCTGTTGGCCTCCTTAATCAAGATGACCAACAAAGCCATCAACTATGAATGGAGCCCATTGCAGCAGCAGGCCTTGGAAGCCATTCAATAAGCTGTGTCCCAGGCACTGCCTCTGAAACCTTCACAGCTAGCTAGCCCAGTGTTGTTATAGGTGTCTGAAACCTCCATGCATGCTGATTACAAGTCCAAAACCCAGAGACTCCTAGCTGGAACTCCAAGAGGACGGTAAGCTCTGTGAACTAATGACTAACTTACTAGAAGGGACCACGCAACCCACAGGGAATTATTTGGTTACTTAGGGGTCCAAGACTGCGAAATGTGCTTTCCAATGATACAGCATGGGTTTTCGGACAGCTCTGCAAAGCAACAAGTAGAGGGGTCCCCAGGGTTGTGGCCACCATCTGGCCAGAGGACGGTCATCTTTTGATTGAGATTGAACATGGAAGTTCCATCCAGTGGACTAAACTATGTGCAGTGGTGATGCCATGCACCTGGAATTGTTCGTGGTGTGTGAGAGGGGTAAAAGGTGACTACAGAGGTTTGGTCTGAGACACTGAACTGAAAGGGTAAATTTGCTACCATCGAGGATGGCAAACTTGGGTGGACAAAATCTTGGAGAGAGGGTAGAGGTCAAGAGTTTGTTTGTAG